TGGGCCTCACCACTGGCTGAGACTCCCTCGCTTCAGCCGTCTCTGCTGGCAACCCAGTCTCCACCACCGGCTCTGTAGCCTCTTCTGCTGGTACAACCCCCTGGTTACCTTCAGCCATGTTCGCCAAGGCTACCAACAAGCGCAGGCTAGTGTAAATGTGAGAGTGCTGACTTTCTGTCAGAAACGTCCGGCCTCAGTGCTTCACAAAATAGCCAGTAGGCAGGTACGCTAGACGAATAGCAGTTTAATGCACTCTATTCAAAATAAAGTCAGCACTGGGAGACGCTGGCTCCCAGTGCCTTACATAGGCTCCACAACGGCCCCACCCGCATTACCATTCCAACCCCACACCCTTATTAACCGCACCCATTCCAACCCCACCCCTCAAGCCAGCATCCGCGCCCAATGCACCTCCCGCCTTTGCCGCCCTGCCCCATGTCCGGAATGCTCCATAGCCGTCTGTTCTGCCTCCAGGGGCCGTTTGGAGCAGTCGAGGCCTCATCCGGCTGCTCCCCCAGCCTTTTCCTCGCTGGGCCTGCCTCGCACAGTCGTCCGACGTCCTCCCTGTCCTCCTTGTATGTCGGCCCTGCGAGGCGCCAGCAAATGACGTCAGAGGGAGGCGCAGGCAAATGGCGGCTACGGCGGCGATGGCGGCAGATCCCTGAGGGGCCGACGACACTGCGGCTCGCTTCCCAGCGTCGGCCTGGAAGCCTGGTCGGTTCGAGGCCTCCCCAGGACGTCCAGGGCCAGGGTAAGGTGGATGGGGTGAATGGCGGTCTGTCCGCCCGTCCGGACAGCCGCGCAGGGCTCGACAAGCTCCTTCAACCATTCATCAAACAATTTAGCCTCTGGACCCTTTATCATCTTTGTTGTACTTCCCTGCACAATTCCAACATGTCAGCATCTTTCTTTGTATTATGGTGATCAGAACTGCATACAGTAAGTGAGATCTCATCCGTGTGGTATAAAGCAGTATAATCAGTTGTGATCTTGATGCTGTTCCTCTGTTGATGCGACGCAGGATTACATTGGCTTTTTTAACAACTGCAGCATATTGCAGGCTCATACTTAAGTGGTGGTCCACTAGGAAACCTAGATTTCTCTCATAATTACTATGTTGAACCAGATAACACCTATTCTATATCAATGCATTTGGTTTTTCCTACCTAAGTATCTAATATTTGACTTTGTCCAAAGTAGATGGGTGTTCTCTTACCACATTGTTGCCTATCTTGTTTTATGCTCATGTTCTGTCTCCCTCAATGCTGATTTTGATAGATTGGGCTGTTTCTTTTGCATAAAAATAAATGCAAAAAAGGAATTGAGCAATTCTGCTTTTTCCTCTGCTGTTTGTCATCTTGCCATCTGCTTCCATTAGTGGATCTATCATTTTCTTCACTTCTTGCTCCTTATATATTGAAAGAAACTTTTTTATAATTTTTGGCATTAGTTGCTAGTCTTAGCTCAAGCTTTCCTGACTCCATTCTTACAGATTCAGGCTATTGTTATTCTGCTTTAGTTATGTGTTCCTCTTTCAATTTTTTTTGACCTTTTTGTCCCACAATTTGTCAGAGAGCTCTTTGTGGAACCATGCTAGTCTCATCTGTATATTTTGTTTTTCTTTCTCTGTGGTATTAGTTTAGCTTGGGTCTTCATTATCTCATTTTTCAGAGTTTCCCAAGCATCTTGAACTGTTAGAATATCCATCCATGGAATCCTTCCTAATCTCTTTCTTAGCTTGTGGAAGTCAGCTCTCTTAAAGTCTAAAACAATAGTCTGACGTGGTTCAATTACCTGTAGTTGCTTTAGGATAAATTCAAGTATATTATGTTTGCTATTGCCCAAACTTCCTATAATTTCTACTCTTTTGTAATTCTTACTTAATTAATAAGAATTAAGTCCTGTATAGCTATCCCTCTTGTTCTCTCCTCTACCTTTTTTATGACAAAGTTGTCAGCTAGACATGTCAGGAGCCTGTTTGATCTCCCACTCCCTGCAGAGTTTGTTACCCAGTTGATGTCAGGATATTTAAGGTCCCCCATTACTACAGTATAGTGTGTTTCCTCAGCTAACTGATTAGCAAAGAGTTCATCTATTTCCTATGATTGTTTGGGTGGCCTGTAATACACATCTGTGATGCACACCTGCAGCAAAGTCTTTTTTTCTCTAATATTTATCCAAGTGCTTTCAAGCAGACTTTCATCCCTAGTATTGTAAATTTCTATGGAGTTATAGTTACATATAATGCAACCCAGCCCAATTTTTTGTTGGGTCTGTTTCTTTGGAACAATTTATATTCTTCTGCTTGAATGTTCCAATTGTGGATTCCATCCCATCAAGTTTCAGTAATAGTTACGATATCATACTTGCCCTCATGTACTACAATTTCAAACTCTCCCTGTTTGGTCCCCATACTGTGAGTATTGTTATATAGGCATTTGAGCCTTTTGTGGTTATCCCTGGTTTTGCTTCCTATATCTCCTGATTTGTACTTGTGTGCCCCTTTTCATTCACTTTCTCATTATTTGATTTATGGTTTAGTGTTACAAGTTGGTCACCTGTCTTTAGTTGGTCTCCAGTTTTAGTTTTAACCTCTTTGGATAAGTTGAGCCCATTGTTTCCCAAACACATTCTTTCCAGTCTTTGTGAGGTCCAGTCCTTCTTTTGCTAGAAGCCCTTTGTCTAGATAGCGTACTCCATTGTCTAGAAAGCCAACGTTCTCATGACAGCATCATCCTTTTTTGGCTGCTGCCACATATGTTGCTCATATTTAAGTGATTGTCCACTAGGACTCCAAGATCCCTCTCACAGTTACTGGGATTGAGCCAAGTTTCACCCTGTCTATACCTGTTCAAATGGTTTTCTTGCCTAAGTGTAAAACTTTTCTTTTCCCACCATTGAATTTCATTTTGTTAGATAGAACCCAATGTTCAAGTGTCAAGATCTTTCTGTATCTTGAGCCTATCTTTTGGTGTATTGGCTATTCCTGCCAGCTTGGTGTTGTCTGCAAATTTGATGAGTTCCCTTCTGTTCCCTTATTTAAATCATTTATGAAGATATTGAAGTTCTGGACCTAAAACGGAACCCTGGGGTTACCCTACTGACCACCTCCCTCCATGTGGATTTAGTTCCATTAAGGACTATACATTGAATATGGTTTGTCAGCTAGTTAAAAATCCATCTGTTGATAGTATTGTCTATCCCACATTTTTCTAGCTTTCAAAGAAATAGGTTGTGGTCTACTTTTAGTTTGTCTGAGAGTTTGTTGTGCAACCATGGTGCTTTTTTCTTGGGTTTCTTGTTTTTCTTTTTCAGTAATATTGAACTGAATTGGGCTTTTATAATCATATTTTTCAGAGTTTCCCGAGCTTCTTGAGTTGAGTTCCCCTTTAAGATTTTCACCTATGGGACCTTTCCCAAGCTTTCTCTGCGTTTGTCAAAATCAGCTCTTTTAAAGTCTAAGACACAGTTTGATTATGTTCTGTTACTTGTGTCTGTATTATATTGACTTCTAATATAACATAGTCACTTTCCCCCAAAGTCCCCGCAACTTCAATCCCCTCTATCACTTCTTTTCTATTAGTGAACTTCTCAGTCACATCTTTAATTTTTGCACCTAGAAGTCAACACATTTTCCTTAAGAAATTGTCTGATCTACAAATTATTGGTTCTGTTCCTCTAAGTAGTGAATCACCAGTCACTAACACAGTCCTTTTTTAATTTGGGGTAGTATGAGCTACTTTATCATATTATTGACATTGACAAAGTTTTTTTTTTCACGTGTCTACGTGTTTCTTTCTTAGGGGAGGATATGAAATCGATTACTCAAGGCAGCAAGAAGCTTCCTTATCAGTTTTTTTTAGCATGATATGCTGCCATCATACCCATATACTGAAATGATCCCAACGTTACTGAAGTTTAGGGAATAACAGAAAGTTGTTTAAATTGCCATTTTTGAGAGCAAATCTTTACTCATCATGTTTACTGCCATACACTTCACTGTACTTATTGAGGGGTAACAACATCTTCTAGATAAGGTTCTCCTAACATTCTTTGCATCTCACTGAATGTCCAGCATCTGAGCCCTTGTTACTTGCCACTGAAAGAATATTTAAAAGGGATTGTTTGCTTTCGTACCAATCCTTCAGGAAGGATGCTTCTTTAGGCAATACGCTATATTCTTTCTTTAGGAATATGATATTGTCAACTACATCAATGTCAGCCTGTTTAAAACGTTTTGGCCAACTGAATTTTTAGCTGGTTTATTCATGAGGAGAAGGTTGTAGGTAAATGGGCAAGATGATTTTAAAATATCAATATCAAATGTTTTAAAAACCCTCAAAGAATCTTTTCTTAAGAGTTTAAAACCTGTTTCTGTCTCCACTTTTGGTGCTTGGCATTAAAGACCCAATCTTATAGTCTTGCTCCAAAAAGGATGCAGCTACGTTTAGAGGCTGAGGGAATCAGTGTCACATTCAGCACCTAATATTATTGTAGGAATGAATAGGTCTATACCAGTGGTGGTGAACCTATGGCACGGGTGCCAGAGGCAGCACTCAGAGCCCTCTCTGTGGGCACACGTGCCGTCGCCCCAGTCCTAGGCCTTCAGCTGGGTTTTATAAAACCTTTTTGCTTTAGGCCTCCGCCGCCATGTGCAAAAAAAAAAAAAAGGTTCAATCGATCAGTCAATTTCAACTTCTTGCAGGAAAAAAAAAGATTTTGCAAAGTTGGAATTGATTGAACTTTTTAGTCCCACCCAGTCTGCCATTACCACTGCAGCCACGCCCACCTAATGGGTCACACCCACCCAATTGGCCACGCCCACCTGGCACCCAACGATGCATAAGTGGGTTTTGGGTTGCAGTTCGGGTACTTGATCTCTAAAAGGTTTGCCATAACTGGTCTATACTATTAATTTTGATGACAGATTTTTAAATTACTCCCAAATCACATATGTTTTGTAATTTTAACAATGTTTTACTCTACTCTAATTTCTCCAGGCTCTCTGACATCACTGTTTGTCAGGCTTCCATGTGGTGGCATTGGGGTAAGCATTTTTTCTTATTTGATCAAGTAATGCAGCAGAACTTGATTAAATTGATTAAATCCATGTTGATTAAACTGACTAAATATACAATTCTCATTTTTATTATAGAACTCATATGTGTAGAACCCCAAATTCTATAAACTTTGGGGAAAACACTCAATGCAGTAATTTTACATATCTTCAATAAATATTATTGATAACTGAAATATTTGCATCTCTATTGGGGTTCCCAATTGTACAAAGCCTTGTTCATATCAGAGGAAGCATATATCTTTTTTCCAAATATTATGATTGTTTCATACCAACATGCTATTTTGAAAATTTGTTTTTTTTTCAATAAAGAAGCTTTATTGACACAGAAGTACGAAGAGACTCTATGCACTTTGTTTTTAAATATATACATCTGGTACTTTGGCTTCTCTATTGATTCTTACATTTAAGATTCACACTACCTATATAATTTATCTCAAATATTAAAAACAACAACAACAACAACAACAACATATTTACAGATTACGTAAATTGTTCAGGCTTGAAAATAGATTTCTTACTTAAAATAAATGCCATAAAGTGAAACACAACAAACAGGGGGCATTCCTTTCTTGCCAAAGAATATATTTGCTGTCCTGTTTTGCCATTGCACCAAGAAAGTGGAAGGATTGGTTAAATACCTCTGAAGCATGATAGTCTATAGAATAGAAGTCTATAGAATATGTTGTTTTGCTTCTTGGCCTCATGGTAGCCATCAGGGTAACCAACAGTTACTGAATTGCATAAAGAATGAGAATGATCTTGTGATGCTCTTCATGGTTTTTATTATGAATATATGCAAGTTTACTATCACTCAGGTCCCCACTTTGGAGATGAAAACACTGCCTCTTTTCATATTACACATCTTTAAACTCTGTAATATGAAGAAGCTTGTGATAATAAAAGCCCAGTCTACCACAATACCACTGAAAAATGAAAAATAAGAAATCCAGAAAGAAACCAGAAGGGTTGCATAAAGAACTCTCCAATAAACTGAAAGACAAAAAGGATAAATATAAAAAATGGAAAGAGGGATGCATAATTAGGCATTAAACCAGCCTATGGGCCAAATCTGCAAAGATGAAGTCAGGAAAGCCAAGACTCAGAATGAACTAAGACTTGCAACAAATATCAAAAGCAATAAAAAAAGTTTATTTCAACATATAAAAAAACAAGAAAAAAAGTCAAGTAAACAAATTGTCCACTAATGGGACGAAATGGGAAGGAAGTGATGAGCATTAGGGAGAAAGCAGAGCTGTTTAACTCATTTTTTGCATCTGACTTCACACAAAAAGATAAAATAGCCCATCTACCAAAAACAGAACCATAAAAGGCAGACTAGGAATGCAAATTAAAATAGGCACAAAAATGGTAAGAGAATAGCTGTCCACCATAGACAAGTTCAAATCATCAGGACCTGATGGATTACATCCCAGAGTTCTGAAGCAGCTGGCAGACGTGATCTCAGAACAATTGAAACCATATCTTTCAAAGATCCTGGTATACCGGGGAACTACCATAGAACTGGTTCCATCTTCAAAAAAAGCGGGGGGAGTTGATCCAGGAAACTACAGACCAATCAGCCTGATATCCATACCTGGGAAGATCCTGGAAAAGATAATGAAGCAACAGGAGGAAGGGGATCTTGGAGTCCTGGTGCACAATCACTTATATATAAGCTATCACTGTGTTGCAGTCACCAAAAAAGTCAATGCCCTAGGCTGCATTAACAGAGGGATAGAATTGATATCACATGAAGTGTTAGTACAGCTTTATAATGCCTTGGTGAGACCACACTTGGAGTATTGCATCCAATGTTGGTTGCCACAATATAAAAAAGATGTTGAGACCCTGGAAAGAGTACAGAGAAGAGCAACAAAGATGATTAGGGGGCTGGAGGCTAAAACATGAAGAACGGTTGCAGGAATTGGATATGTCTAGTCTAGTGAAAAGAATGGCCAGGGGTAACATGTCAAGAGTGTTCCAATATTTAAAGGACTGCCACAAAGAAAAGGGGTTCAACCTATTTACCAAAGCACTAGAAGGCAAGACAGGAAGCAATGGATGGAAACTAATCAAGGCGAGAACCAACCTAGAACTAAGGAGAAATGTCCTGATAGTGAAACAATCAGTGGAATTACTTGCTTTCAGTAGTTGTGGGTGCTCCATCAATGAAGGTTTTTAAGAGGAGATTGGACAGCCATTTGTTTGAAATGGTATAAGGTCTCCTGCTTGTGCAGGGGGCTGGATTAGAAGATCTCCAATGTTCCTTCCAACTCTGTTATTCTGTTAAAGGTCAGCTCTTGCCCCTTAGCACAGCTCTGCTTTGACCACCACATCAATAGCATCTGAAGATGAAGCCTCACTCTTACATGACATATTTTCAGCTTTCTAAGTGACAGATTGGAGAATTTGTCTACCCCATTTAAGAATCACCCAATCTGCTTCTTCCAGTATGGATGTAAATTATTTCATGTGTGTGAATGCTGTTTATTATCTCTTACGACTATAAAACCCGCCATTCTGCAGTTAGTCTGTGAAATAATCTAACTCTCATGGGTAAATGTCACTCCCCTTTCTTTTAAAAAATAAATAAATGGGGAAATAGATCATTCCCACTTATCTTTTGTGATTCTTAATGGCACTCAGACACCATCTAGGATGCAACTTTCCTGTCACAAGTCAGATCTGATCCCATTCAACATCTGGTTTTACAAATCAGTTCCATTTTTGCCCAGTATAACTACTTCTTGGCACATACAATGTCAAGTGCAATGGTAACTCTGTCTCTCTTTATATGCAATGGCTTCTGGCTTAATACTTATAGGTTTTCCTAGTTCCAGCCGATTGTGAAGCACATAGCTGGCAATCCCATTATTTATGGATGCCTCTTTGTTAGGAATAATTTTTAATGAACATACACGTGTACCCCTTCTTCTTTCTGTGGCCTCATGGGATGGAAAGCATGTTTCCCTTATTTCCAGAAACATGATGCAAAGGCTGAACTTGAGTGGCAGTTCAAGTTTAATCCAAACTTTCAAAGTCTTTCTAATGCAGTTTGGGGTTCAGATGACCTTAGAAATATTACAATTATTTGGGACCAAAAAAAAGCAAGGAAAAACAGATTTGTTGATACTACAGAATCTGGCAATTCCATCCAGGATCTGCTGCACAGCTAGATTACTTGCCCCCTGGGATCCCAGGACTGTCTAGTAATCTGATGTAATCATTTGATTTTAATGATTTATGACCTGGAGCTCAACCAGAGAATTACCTTATTCATATTTCATATTGCAAGTATCCTAAGAGCGAACTCTTTGTATACATACAAAACATCCAGTGCTCCTAATATTCTAATGGGATGGATATGGGACTTTTTTATTAGATGAATTGTAGTTCAAGTACATGCTATACATATTTCCCTGCTGGTCTTGTGAAGGTCATGTGCCTTCACTGCATACTGATAGCTTGATGAACACATTAATCATAGTTTGTCTCACTTTTCCCCTCTCACAGGGGAATGCATCTCACACAGAGAGGAATATCTTCCATCTATCTCTGTAAAACACAGTGTATCATTAAATATAGTACAACATTTGTACTTGCCGCATCTCTAGTTGACAAGCTGGAGACTGATTGTAAACATGCTTCTTTCAGAGATATCTGGAAAGTTTTTATACTTCATTATGAGTTTGGTCAAACATACATGTTTCATCAGCACAGAGAAGAGGGAAATAAGGATTGTTGTGTATGTTTTTAGTACAATGCTTCCTCTAATGCAGCCCTTTTAGTTATCTCACATTGCTGGCTTATGTTCAGCTTAGTGTCAGTAACTAGACCCAAGTCTTTCTTCAGTGTTGTGCTTCCAAGTCATAACTTCTTGGACTTGTATGTGTTCCATATATTTTTCTCCTTTACATTTTTTCCAGTAAAAGTATGTTTTGTTCTCCAAGCTTCGTTTACCTAGATTTGATTTCAGTTTAATTTTGTCATTTTGGGTGCTGTCTAAACTTCACAATTTTGTGTCATCATTAACTACAAAGTTTCAAAATTAATTAAAATATTCTCACTTAACTTCTACCATAATAATTTTTAAATTGCCTTATTTTTCTTGGGAACAATTTTAAATAATCTGGTTAGTGTTACGAATATTATTTTGAAAACTATCCCAGCATTGTTTCGGCAAATATCTCTACATTTTGCAAAATAAGATAAAACGAACAGTAGCATTCCTCAATATGTGAAATTACATAGAAACAAATTAATTGAAAGATTGGGATATAATTATCTTCCATTGCACTTGGCAAATCTATAGTTTAAAACAGACATGTCAAACACAAGGCCTGGGGGCCGGATGCGGCCCACGAAGTGGTTTCATTTGGCCCCCGAAGCCATCCAGGAAACAGTGAGGGAACGGCCCCCGCTGCCTTGGCCCTGGCCCAGGCCAGCCGGGAGCTAATGTACAATTTTGTGGTGGCCATCTTGGCACTTGCCCCAGTGGACCATGCCTTGGCACTTGCCCCGGTCCCACCCCCTTCTGCCAGAGACCCTCAGATCTGTCCCACTCCTGCCCAGGCCCCCCATAGGCACCCTTGACGCGAATGATGTAGAACTGGCCACACCCATCCAGTAGGCCACACCCACTCCATCCACGCCCACCCATTAGGCTGTACCCACTCTGGCCACACTCACCCGCCCCCCCAGGGCAACCGTAATGTTGATGCGGCTCTCAGTGAAATTGAGTTTGACAACCCTGGTTTAAAAAATGGCCCACTGAAGATCTACGAAAAATGTCGGTTAAATCAGTATTGGCAAGAAAAAACACCAATTGGTACGAAATGTATATGCAGAACTCACTCAGAAATTCTGGTTCTAAATGCTTTTCATATCTTGTCTATGTCTTTATTTTGTACTGAGCAATCTTTTTTATACAGATGACTGTTTGTCATCTCTTATCCACATGATAAAGTTTGATCAAGCTATGTTTGAGGATGTCCATTAATCTTTTAAAGTACAAAAAATGATTGCTTTATTTGCTCTAATTGTGAGATATAAGCTCTACCTTAGTTCTAAGAAAAATAGATGATATACATGATGGGAGAGCTAAAATAATTTAGAAGCCAATTCTCCATTTTCTTTCTTATTTTCTCTCCTTTGTATCTTTAATGTCTAATGATGCTGTTATATCTGCATAAGACTATTGTTCTTTATGCAGATCAAACTTTGTTTTTATTATCAGGTCCTGGAAAAGCAAAATAGTCATTTCCGCCTAGGAATTTTCTAAATAATTTGTATTAATAAACATATTCCATAGCCAGTTAGCCAAATAGTCACAATCCCCTTTCCAAAGGATCTTGTCCTATCAATATATGCAGGACTGCCACCTGGTCAGAGCCATTTGTCTTCATTTAGCATTTTAATTTTGATATCTTTAGGGTTTTTTTTAAAGACACTTTCTTCAGCAAAGCTATGCTATCTGCTGACTTTTGTTAACATTTTATCAGTAATAGGTAGCTAGTTAATTATTCTTAGGTGTGGAATATTACAGAAACCAGGATGAAATCTGGTTAGTTAAAGTAACAGTGGATTTTTATAGATGATCTTTTGTGGATTCATACAACCTATGGTTCTTCTTTTAGGAAATGGTTTAGTTCTATAATTATTTGGAGTGGTCTTCAGAAATGAAAGTGGAATATTGGGAGCTGTGTTTTAGAAGATGTATGATATGATACAGACAAGATATGTTTCTTGTCAAAAATCTTATATCTGAACATGTCCCAAAATGGATGCATGAGGATAACCACTTAAAGAACTTCTAGGTGTATAAGCAGTTTATCTGTAGCTAAAGAGCTTTTTAAAGAAAAGTAAATCAGTATTTATATTTGTGATGGCAGTGCTACCAATTTTGAGTTGGGGAGTAATTCACTTTTGGTATTTATCATTATTTGCATTTATAATTAAAACACTTAAGTTATGATTTAACAGTTCCAGTAGTCAGCATGCAGTGCTCTGTGTAGTCTAAATTGTTTCAGAATTTACAACAGTATCTTTACAATATTTCTGAATCCATCTTTATTCAGGTGGACAATGATACAATTTGGAATGAAGTACATTCATTCAGTGCTGCTCGTCTTGCTGCTGGCTGTGTCATAGAGCTTGTATTTAAAGTAGCTACAGGAGAACTAAAGGTTGGTCTGGTATTGATAATATTTTGGCTTTCATTTTTACATGTGATAGTAACTGGATTAATTTTGTTTTCATGTCACATAGCAAACAACTTTTACAATATTTCCAAACTTAGAGTTTGTAAGAATATACAAAGGGCAGAAATTCAGGAATTGTGAAATTTGTTTTGTATAGTGCAATTATAGTTAGGAATACTAAAAAATGTCTCTGATTTTAATATTTAGTAATTTAATGTATTTATTTTACTCCAGTCTTTTATAACACATATATAACTCTTGCTCCTGCTCCTTAATCTCAGGGCTTGACTACTGTAGTATATTTTTGAAAAATTATTAGACAATATAGTTATAGATGGAACAGGTCAATAGCCCTCTATGATACAAAGTTCCATAAGCTGCATTACTTGCCAATATAATTCTGAATTCACTGCAAAATTTATCTAACTTTCATTATTCTAAAGGGACCTCCTCCCAACTGAGATTTACATGCATATATGTTAATGTCACATCTTTTCTAGAAATCTGTTTCTCATAGTAATCAGTAAGCCATATCCATAGAGAGGATATAACAGCATGTAATATTCAAGTGCATGCCACTTCTGAATATTTAGGTTTCTCATAAAAATTAAGTCATCTTTAGTCAAGTTTACCTCCTAGTAATTTATGTGAACAAACAAGAAGTCCTCAAATTATAAGAGCAAATGGGACTGGCATTGCCATCACTAAGTCAAGCAATTGTAAAGGGTAATGTCACATTGTTTAGCAATAGAAATCCAGGCCGTCCCAGTTGTCATGATAATCACAAGACACATCAGTTGTTATGCAGGAAGTAGAGGAAATCTCAGATAAGGAGTGTGAGGTGTTACCAGGGGTTGGGGGAGGCCCAGTGCAGGCTGTGTGCAAGTTTATGGTGCTGGAATGCAGTGCGAGCTTAGGCAGGCTGGAAAAAGAGAATGCGGAGTGCATGTGTGTGAGCAAAGGGAGACCAGGAAAAATGGTGCAGGGTGCATGTGTCTGTGAGTGCAGGGAGACCCAGGGAAGGAAGGCACCAGTGAGTGCGAGCATGCAAAAGGGAGAATAAGTGTATGGTGCATGTGAGTGTAGATGGGGGGGGGGGAGATTTACCTTCCCTACCAGTTTCCACATTAACTTTTCTTGTGCATAGCCTGCAGAGAAGGTCTGCAACACTTGCCTGCCATTAGATTATAAAATGAGAGCAAATTCCACTCCCTACAAACTGATGATGTTACCTAGTTTGGTAAAGAAATGTCTGCAAGAAAATAACCAAGCTCAGAGAGCATCAAGGACAACTGAAATCTTTTAAATTGAGAATAAGTCATCCTTCAAAATTTTCCTTTCAATAAAGCAAGAGCTATCAATTTATTCCTGCTGTTCATTATATTACTGTCCACAAGAGGACTTTAAGAAAAGTCCTCTAGAAACATCCTGCCTGTTTTCATTCATAAAGAGTTTTACCAAAGGTTTCAGTATGTCTAAATTGGTACTATCTAGAACAGTGGTGGTGAACCTATGGTACGCGTGCCAGAGGTGGCACTCAGAGCCTTCTCTGTGGGCATGCGCACCATGCCCCAGAGATGGCATCCGTCCCTCTTCAACCAGCCGCCCGCTAACTCACCAAGGTCCCACGTGGCCAGATGCATCCCAGCATGGCTGGTCCCCCCCCATCCCATCCCTCCTGGTCTCGCATGCTCTCCTTTTCCCGGGCACGACCCACTGCATCGCCTCCTCAGCTGTCGGCCAGCCATCCAGCTCAGAGGCGGCTTCTCTGAATTGTTGGTGGTGGGCTGCGGAACCCCAGAGTGTGCCGGTCGAGGGGCTAGCAGGCTGTGTATGCTGACGGACACTGTCGGCCCCCATGCGCTCGTTGGCCTCTGTGTATGGGGGCCAATGGTGTCAGGCAGCGGCCATCCTGGCCCCTGCCTTGCCTTGCCCTGCGACAGTGGCACCCCCACCCTGCCTCGCCTTGCTTCACCTTGCCCACCGCCCCACCTGCCAGAGATCCCCTGGATCTTCCCCAACCCTGCCTGGCCTCCACAGGCGTCCCTCCCCATGAGCAACATCAAGGTGACCACACCCACCTTGGTCATACCCACCCAGTTTGCCATGACCACCACAGCCACACCTACCCAGTTATACATAAGTGGGTTTTGGGTTGCAGTTTGGGCACTCGATCTCTAAAAGGTTCACCACCACTGATCTAGAATATAGGAAAATGTATTGTATTTAGTTTACATATGGGTAAGCTTTTGAGCACATCAACTAGTGCAGCTGTCATCTATATAGCTCAGTCATTCAAGTCCTAGTTATCTCACAGTTGGACTATTCTAATGTGCTCAACATGGAAGCCACAGCATACTGCACCAGCACAGATAGTTCCTTGGGCCCAAAGAATGGCCCATGTAACACCACTGTTCCATAAGTTGCATTGGTTGCCAATCTGCTTCCGGGTGCAATTCAAGATGTTGATAATCACTTTTAAAGCCCTTTCTGGCATGGGTCCAGGCTACTTGAGGGACCGTCTCATCCCACTGGGATTGGCCTATCCCACCTTTGCCGGCAGAGGAGGCATGCTCTGTGCCCCATCGCCCAATTATTGTGGCTAGCAAGGTCCAGAGAAGGGTATTCTCTGCCGTTGCTCCTGCTCTGTGGAACATCTCCCCCCCCCCAGTGTGAGGTCGGCCCCAAACCTCCTGACCTTTCGTAAGAATTAAAGACCTGTCGCTGCCAGTTAGCTTGAGGGCCTCAATGGGGGAACATTGCAATGGAAGTGATAGATCGATTAACAACAGATTCCACCTCTCCCTCTGCTTCCACCCAGGGTAACTCTGGGCAGTTTACAATATACATACACACACACATACACAAACACCTACATTCTATACACTATACACATACACTATACACATACATTTTACTCTGCTAGTTGTTGCAAACTATAGGGAGAGGTGCTCATATCCATTTCAAGGTCATTTAGCCAACGCTGTCCAAAGACATTTCTCCGTCATGTCGCCAGCATATGTCATAGAGTGCTGTTATCTTCCCCCCACACATATACATAGATACATAACACTTATACATCTGTGTGTGTGTGTGTGTGTGTGTGTGTGTGTGTATGTATATGTGTTTCTGTATCTATGTGGGGAGGGGGAGGTAACAGCACTCTATGGCATCACACTGGTGACATGACCACAGAAATGTCTTTGGACAGCACTGGCTCCATGACCTTGAAATGGAGATGAGCACCGCTCCCTATAGTCTGCAACAGCTAGCAGAATAAAATCCACAGGGACTCTTTTACCTTTTACTATATATAGTGTATGTGTATAGTGTATAGAGCATGTGTGTGTGTGTGTGTGTGTGTGTTGTAAGATGCCTGTGATAAGATGTGTGGCCAATTAATTAATTACTTACTAAAGACAGTGTCATCCAAACTGGGGGAGGGAGGGACTGTAATGGGCAGCAGTGCATATAAAAGACTCAGCAATGTGGGAGATCACAAACTAAATCTGAGCCAATAGTATGGTGCAGTTGCAAAAAAAAAAACCTAAATGAAATCGTAGGTTCCAACAGAAATCAAGATAAGCCATTATTCCTCTTTATTCTATGGTAGAGAGACCACACCTAAAATATTTGCAGCACCATGTTTTACATTGACAAAGAACATTGACAAAGTGGAGCAAGTCCAGAGGAGAGCAATCAAGATGTGTACTTTTCTCTGGCATCTGAGTGAGTCAGCACCTTCCACTTACCTGTAGGTTTGGATTCAAGATGGTGACTACTGAACATTTTCTTGTCAAATTCTGACAGAAACTGTTATAGTTGTTATAGAGAACTGTGTGTGGTCCAATTTTCGTATTATTTTGTCATCAAAAGTCTCTAGTTCATCTCTAGAGTGCCGAGTATAATCTTGTATGCCGAATGAGCATTCTCTGTTATCTTACACTAACTTGCCTTCAAATACAATAATTAATATCCGAAGTACTATAGAAGGTGCATGTGGGCAACACCTTAACAGAGTTCTTCCATAAATGACCCAGAAAGTTCTTCTATTTTTTCCCATAATTCACTGAGCCATGATATCGATAACTGATCCGTAACTTCATTAGACATAAGATATAGTGTTTTCTAAAGCTCCTCAAGTCAAAATGGCTGTGGTTTGTAAAGGTACTCCCTCTTTTTGTTCAGAGACAATCAAGCTTTGCTGTTATGAAACACCTCAAATGTCCAAACTGTTGCTCCTGATTATGAAGACTAACCCTGTCTTTTCTTCCCAGAGAAGACAAGGTGAGTCTTCATAGTGCTCTGTTCAGGATTTACCATCTTTACTCATCTAGGTTTAGGACATTGTATTAAAAGCTGTGCAATTTCTTGACTTCACATTGTATCTTTTGATTTGTGTATCTCAGCTCATATGACTCTTCAATCCTTTGTGTCTTGATTTTTAAGGCAGCATTTCTGATTACTTCAACCCTTTCAAAACAGAGAACATTTTATCCAGACATTAATTTTCTTTCAGAGGCTGACTTCCACCTCAGAAACATTATTAATTTCCAGTCTTTTTTAAAATGGCCACTGGATTCACTAAAACTGGTAGTTTCCTTTTTAGATATGTGACACATGCCCATTTTATGTTTTGAATAAAAGAAAGCCTTTTGTAGTTCTTTTATGGCTTTGTATCAGCTCCCAGGCTCCCCCAGTTTGTCTAACAATATTATTTTTACCATTTGCCTAGCATATGTATTGGCAAGCTTACCTCATTCTGGCACAATGAGGAGTCAGTTCAGTTATGAAAGGGACAGGAAGGTCAATGATTCCTGCCTCCATTTTGCAATTCCCAGAGCACCTCTAGCTCACACTACTTGCATTTGTATCACATTCTTGCTCTCCTTGAAGAAGATGTAGAAATAAATATTAAGGTTCCACATATATTTATTTAACCATTATTATATATCTATTTAGGAGTGTAAGCTCTTTTAATCTAA